TATGTAGTGAAATGGTACCCGCGTCAACACAGTAAATAAGTATTACACTTATGCTAAATTTTAAAACCACTGGATTCTACTGAGAGCAAAGAAACACTTGGGAAATGCTAAAAACTGCCTTGCGTGTAAACAGTTACATACCCCGAGCCTGCTCTCAACATGTTTCAGCAGAGAGTTATCGTTCATAAAACTGACCCCTAGCGGCAGTTCAAAGGCCTATAATATATACCTTTAACGAGTAAACAAAAAGCACACCGTAACACTGTTTTGGTAGAAGATTTAAAAGGACACCATGTATTTTTGATAAATATACACTCTAAAATATCAACAGTAAAGGAGTTAAAATGGCGACTTTTGTGAAAACATTGCCGATATTGATGTTAATATACCTTTTGGTTTGCACAGGTAAATACGTTGTAACACTGTAACGTTAATTCATTGGATAAAATTGGAAATAAACTGAAGAGTTTTGTACTTAATTTCTATTTCTTTTGAAAATCTTTGATGTATCAACATTGTGTACCTGTTTTGTAATGTAAATTTAATTTCATTTTCTTATACATCTAGTAGAACTTCCATCCCCTACGATAAGCCATATCTATAATATAGCCATTATTTTCACAAAACAAAATCTTTACAAGATAACTTGAGCTTCAACAAAAGATTCCTTATGCATCGATGGCTGTGAAAATGCTCTTTGTTTACACTGCAATATAAAGCAAATGATATGCAATAAAATATTGTTTAAAAATAGAGTACAACAAGCATCAAGTTGAAACTAAACAATAGAAGTATCAATTACAAAATTTCAACGTTAAAGTATACTCGGTGTTTATTTTCACGATAAAATCTTCCTTTTTTAATTGTCAGATCATGTGTCAGCAGAGACATGTTTCATCAACGATTTACTGGACACGGCGATTTGTCCAGGTCCCTGCTGCGCCGGGAGATGTTGCGAGTACATATGGACTTGACATAATTTGGAAGATTTTTTTAGTTTTTAGTCCTACATATCATGAATAATGTTGTTAAATGTTTGCATTTTTTTATATGACAATTTTTTGCTATTCCTCCAGGAGTGGAGAATTACCCCCTCCCCCCGGGACCAGCACGATCTGTTGGGACCATAGCACCAATTATTACCTGTACTGTCCCACTGGATGCTGTGAACGAGGCACTCAGAATGAACGTTGCTGCACGTAAGTTACAATTTATTATTAAAGGACAACAAGCAAAAGATGTAAAATTACCCATATCCTCATTTATTTGTCATTCCATTAGCTTGTGTTAATAATCATCAGGAAATGTATTTAAATCTTTTATTTTGCTTAATCAAAAATTCACATTTATATTTCAATATTGTAAGAAACACATATTTATGAAAAATAAACTAACTGAATTTCATTTTAAAAGTTTTTTTTTAACAGTCAAGAAGAATCTCCATTCAACAGAATGCAGAACTGGTACATGCTTCACTATATTTCATAACATTTGCAACAAAAAATCCGATATACTCACAATGTTTAATAATCAATTTTGCTATCATGCTCTCATTTGAAAAAAACCTTCTAAAAGACGTATGCATGCAGATAAAGAAACAGCCTCAGAATTTAAATAGTGCAAATCGAAAACAAACAAAGAAACAAAGTGGAGCAAAGCAAATATGTGCTTTGAAAGTCAAACGGAAAAAAATATGTATACATTTTACAATGAATATTTTGGCTTAGTTTTTGTATGAAAAACGGTAGTATTCAACACTGTGATGAATAGATCATTTGATCAAACAATTATTTGACTGAAAACGAGATTGTCAAAATTCTTGTTGCGTCAACTCATTCTTCACTAGCTTACCTTGTTTCAGGAATTGTTCTTACTTGTGGAACATTTCAAGTTTAAAATATACTCTTGCAATTCTGTCTTTCTTTTCTATCTTTAAAAATAAGTTTTAAATCTTTGTTTTTCAGAAATAACCATAAAAATAAACAAAATCATAATCTATTAAAAGTTGAAAATATTTTACATTTCTTTATTTTTCCTTAAATATTCTCAATAAAAGCAGCCCTATCAATGTGTGTATTTATTGAAGGACACTGACACAGAAGCCTGATTCCACCCTCTGTTTTAACAACAGCAAGTATCCTGCAGATTTTATTTATTGTGAACATGGTTGTTGTGGAGAAACCGGAGGACAGTGCTGTAGGTACGTGAAACCATTACTCTGAATATACTCTTACTTTACTATGTGAAGGGGGTTTACGCTTCACTGGTTATGTATTTTGCAATATCACCGACTGAACATTTTCTTTTATCGTACCTTGCAAGACAAATTTACTAATATAAAAAGTCACTATATAAAAATATCATAATGTATCGGCGAAGGGCTACAAATTTTAATCTATTCATTTCGCTCTGGACCATTGAGCAGCGAGGGTTATTTAATATTCCAAAGCCTAACCCCACACAAAAACTGCGTTTAAAACATCTTGTAAAGTAGCACGTTGAATTTCACTTCTTATGTCGTCGCTCCTTAGAGGAACTGTCACATCGTCTTAAGATTTTTTTCTACAGGGAGGGAGAAATCCCACCGTCCCCCGGGCCAATAGAAGACAAATGTTATAGTGGGTGCCCTCACGGCTGCTGTGGGACTACTATGAAAGTTCGTTGTTGTGTGTAAGTCATCTTGTTTAAATTTGTCCTTTCCTCGGTCAGGTACCACACCCCTTAAAAATATCATCAAATTGAGAAAAAGCATCATTAGGGAATTTAACATGAAATTTTTATGCAATAATAAAATCTTTGAGATTATGTTCTTTTAGTATACATACATGTACATATGTATACTTTTGACGGTTTAAAGTTATAGTGGCTCTAATAAATCATATAACAGGGAAAAATATCAAATGCACTGCGAGTCATCTTGTCTAAGATACTAACGTTTATTAGTCTTGAATAGATTAGAATATCGTGATATTAGTATAGCACATGCTTTATAACCATATTATTATATTAAAAGTTAACAGAAAAAATATTAAGTATTTTAAACAATATGTGTATTTTCAAGATTATTTTTATCTAAAATATACTTTTTAATCATAGCGTTTCATTGTATTCACGCGTACGTTTTTTTAAAATAATATGTAATTTTTTCCTGTATACTTTGATTGACTATTATGGTGAGTTTTGAAGAAACATTAATACATGTTACATAAATATTTTAATTCACATTTGGTGTATGATGTTTCAAGAGCATTTAGCAAGTACTTCGCTATTTTCATGTTGAAGAAAAAACTTTTTATATATATTACATAATATTGATATATACCATGTATATGTCATGTTAAATTAAAATATTAATTTAGTTTTCAATTCCTGTCGTTTTTCCTTTACATTTCAGTCCAGGTGAATATGGAACTTCTACCCGTCGACAATTTACAACAAGAAATAGGTTAGTGAAATCAAAGATGAAGACACCACAAAGCGCGGGTTTCCATTGTTTAATTGATATACACAAATATGTGAAAATGGATTTTTGAGAAAAAATGTTTTTAATTAGTAAACATTATATGAAAAAGAAGACTTTTTAAAACAATATTAAGTATTTAAGGTAAGACATTTTTTTCAATGTTTACACTAGTGATGTCACAACACCACACCCTGATTCTACGTTCTGCTACATTAATGAAGTCCACGACTACCGACATTGTCCACTAGGCTGCTGTGTTGGGAGATGCTGCAAGTAAGATTTTCGTCATTGATTGATTGTATGTTGTTTAAGTCCTATTTGATAAGATAATGTTTTCACATGCTGTGTTTTCACAATATACTCATGAAGAGTTTCAAATTTTGATATGTACTCTGATTTTGATTTTTATTGAATGATTAAGTTGAACATTATGGGAGTATATTTATTCTCATATTTTTTTAATTTTGAATTGTGTTCTACAGTTATTTATTCATTTTTATAATAATAAATATTTAATTTTATTTTGGCCAATTTGTGTCAACGTTTCATCACATTGATTTGTCCATGTAAACTTTCTTTCAAAAAAAACTTTTAATTGTGAAAATACAAATAAATTGTGTAATATATAGTAGAGATTAAGATTTAATGATTTTGCTAACCTGCAATTAAAATGTCATGAGGATGATGTCATGAGAAGTAATTTGATTATGAAAAATTTTCTAGATACTTTAGTTATATGATACGGGATCAATTTATAACCAAAATCTGTTAATTATTTGAACCAATTCATGCTATCAAATTTCGTTTGCATTAAGTATCCACAAGATTTTTTAAATTATAATTTTTATCGTTACAGTGAAAGTGATATTCTCCACCCCGGCCTGACGATATGTTACATAGAAGCCGAGCAGAGTTATCGTTACTGTGGGTACGGCTGTTGTGATGGAAAGTGCTGCAGGTGATTTGTATATGAAACTTTTTTCACAATGTAAAATGGTGATGAGTATTATTTACTGACTTTTTTGGCTTATAAATATGTTTTATGCCTCCATAATCGAAGACTAGGGGAATATAGTTATTGTCCTATGCGTCCGTCTGTCTGTCGGTTTGTCTGCAAAAACTAAAATCTTGCTCATAACTTTTGATTATGTGAGGCTACGGCACTTATATTTTATAGAAGCATTAATTGTGACAAGACCTTTCTTAGGGTACCAGCAAATTAGACCTCATAACATTGGAGTTTAATTCGCTTTTTTCCCAACAATATACCAAATTTTAACAATGGTTATAACTATTGAGTAGTTGGTGCTGGAGCATTCATACTTCATTGTTTATGTACGTGTATATTTATTGTTTCAAGACCTTGCAATTAGTATAAATATTTTTGACCATTTGATCCTGAGCTAAGATTTTGCCCCAATGTGTAAATATTTTAAACATCGGCGACAATTTTTGAATATTTAGCGGAGATTTCATATTTCACAGATGTAATCCTTGTGACATGACCTTCTTGATGCCAACAAATTTGTCATTTTGACCTTGGAGTTAGACTTGCATTTGATGAAATTAAACTATATCGCCTGAGCTGCCATAATTATGGGGGCAACAGTGTTTCACAAACATATCTTTTTTCTTTTGAACTCATAGAAATTTTTTCTTCTATGTTTATCAAAGAAGTCTTTATGTCGGTTGAACATGATGCAGATTGTTAATTTCAATTATACATGTATAAAGAAATTGCAAACTTTCAAAGATGCTAATAATTTAATCTTGTTTTTAAATCTATAAGACGTTTCCACCTTAAACAGTGTATACCATTATCGAGAAACTTTTTTAATTTTTTAATTTCAAAATTTTAATAAATTCGTTAAAACTTTTACGTACATATAAACATTTCTTTAATGTGAATTTCCAAATTTTATTTTAAAAACTGTTACAAACTGTTTTAAAACAGTAAAATTGTTTTTGTCATCTGTCTTAATGAAATACTAATATATTAAAGCCCGAGATATTCAAGTTTGATCTCTATGAGAAATCCTGTCATATATAGAATCTTTACATGTATATTAATTTTAGTTAATTTTATTGGTATTTTATTTTATTCCAGCCACCCATCCTCCACTATGTGTTGGTTAAACAGTATACACGATTACAAGTACTGTCCAATGGGGTGCTGCGGTGACAAATGTTGTAGGTTAGACAATCCTTTGTACCAATATCATTCTTTACTTAACTTCACAACAAATAATCTTTACATTGTAAATTTGAAGATGGGGCCATAAATGTATACAAAAGAAATATCTGAACTTTTGCGATTGGAATAACATATCAATCCAAAATAGGCTTAACGATTTGTATTTTTGTTTGGTCACTCAATAGGGGATCTCTGCTCCGTGTAGACACCAGACAACAGGGCCCCAAGACCATAAACTGAGAATAGACTTAAGTCAAACTTTCAAATTGATATAACGGTCTTGAGCCCTGTTCTGGAATAGTCTAATCCACACTAATTAAAAAGTTGTGTCCCTTTGCGGGGTCAACCAAAATGTCAAAAGGGAAAGAAACAACATTTCTCCTCTTTATGCTGCCAAACATTCGTTTGGGTTATGATGAATCCACTATTTAAATTGTTTTCTTTAGATGTGTGGTTAGCCCAAAAATGGGGCAATCAGTATACACTATGCAATGATTTTTCCCAGTCAAATAACAAAGTTACAAACCTGACAACTACAAAGGCTACTGTGAGGATTCTTTGGTTTATCCCCTAAGATGGCGGCCAAGGGACATAGCTTTTGAAAAGTGTGGATTCAACTATTTCCATGGCTTCATGTTATAGCCCTGTTAACACATTTGTATTGTCAATAGATATTTTAGATATACATGTATTACTATTCATTATCCTTACTTTTTACATTCGTAGAGATGGACCTTCAATACAATCAGACACTACTCTTTGTTACGATTATAAGAAAGAAGATTACGTGTATTGTTCTCATGGGTGTTGTGGAGGAAAATGCTGTGATTTGATCGATCAACAAGGCCATCAAATGTATGATACACTTATTTATTACTAACGTTTATTTACATCGCATAATTAAGAAAGGAAAAAAAGCACAGTTATATATATCTCAAAGAAATATTTTTCAAAAAAATCTCAGTTTCACTTATTATTCTGAAGATCAGAAATGAAGGTAGATAAAATCTGGCCTTTAGTTGTATTCTCTTGACATGTATAGAAATGTTTGGATGTTTATATAAGAATACTTTTTTATCAGATCTGCTGCCAGTATTGCCTTCATTGTCCTAGGAACCATTTTTACCCTAGTTTTTGTGGTTGGGATAGTCGTTTACGTAATTTCCCACAGGAAGGGACTCTGGGGAACTCCCAAAATCATGCGAACAATATATTCCCTCCCAGAGCAGACACCACATGTCTGTAAGTATCAACTCCAAATGCATGTTATTTTAATTAAAGGGAGTCTATAATTATATAGTTCTCAAATCCACAAGTGTTAAAAATCAACAGTAAGTCGTACATTGTATATCAAGTGCTATTTTTTCAAAATATTTCTCAAAATTTCATGATTAAATTTGATAATATAAGATATGCTGTAAAGAGAAAATTAAATTTTATAGAAGAAAATTATTTTTTTTTTTGCTTTAAATTGAATGTCAAAAAAATATTTATAGGAAACGTGAATAAATTAAAGTAAGATATTTATCCATATCTCATTGTAATTGGTTAAAAAAAAATCTTTTTTCCTTGCAGATCATGAACCCTATCAGAAAATTTGATGCAGTCAGACTTAAATCAGTATTGTAAAATCATAACTAATTGCAACCATTCAAACATTCGGTGATATATATTTGCTTACAAAAAGGTCTTTCAGTGATCTTTGTTTTCCTTTTAGAAAAGTGTTGAGACTCAAAACTGAATTATTAAATGTCAACTGTTTTACATTCCAGTCTAGAAATGTAATCATATATACTAGTATACCTTTCAGAGAGTATTTATGGGGAATAATCTGTACACTGAACGAATGCTTCTTTCTGATATATTATATTAACATGCAGTCTTTAAAGTTTGATTTTGATTATGAAATATTTACTAAAGAAGAGGGGTTTAAATGTTTGGACGATTAAATACAAAACTCCCCGTCATATTGGTTCATTTGTTATGTGACATATGAGGAGACATCAAATATTATTATATGAAAATCAAAAAAGAACATACAAATTTAATATGAAATAAAAATGAAGAAGTGCAAACCTTCAACTGATTTTATGAGAGCCTGAAGACTAGAAAAATGTTGTGTAACGTCCATTGTTTAATTTTCACTTTCACCAAGTTTGTTATCTATACAATGTTTTTGTTTGTTTGTTTTGTTTTGTTTTGTTTTTGAAAACTAATACTAGAAACACTTTTATCGAATATTATTTATAATTACCGTAATAAAATAACGATAATTAATGATTCAATATTTATTATGTATCCGTTTGGACTTTCTTTCTATGAATCATGCTTATATAAAATAAAAACTAGAAAAATAATCGTATTCTGTGATTCTGTAATTTTAACGTTTTCCTAGTTCCAGTCAAACATTGCACTACTTTTGGTTGTAGACACAGGCTTAAGTCACCGGGACACTATTATATTTAGTCACCAAATCAGTGTATTATTATAGGTTATAGACGCAAGTTCAAATCACTTGAAAATATTGTTAGTCATCAAACACAGTATTAATTTTGGTTATGGAAACAAGGTTAAAACCCCGAGACATCATAGCTACGCACCAAGACTCTAGTTGGTCCTCAAACCGAGGGGTACACTGTATAACAAACAATTCTATGATTTCCCGAAAAAAGTTCTGAATTGAATTTTCAGATGCCATATTTAATGGTGTATAAAACTATAAATGCTGTCCCTCGCTTTTGAAGTTGTCAAATGATCTGCCCAATCGAGTAGAATTTTTTTTACAATTGTTTTGGAGGGAGAGGATTAAAAAATTTCTAAACAACTACATTCTTCGTCATTATTCAGCTTGCAAGATTTGTCAACTCGATATAGAGAATAGGTAAATAGTGAGGTAGATTGATAAGGATCACTTAGTCGTAACTTTCAACGCTGACAATTCACCCAATCATTTTCCGTTGTCTTAATAAATTCAATTCAGAACTTTCCTCATTCATCCTAATTGTCCTGATTTGCTTCACAACATGTAGATATTCTAGGTTTAAATTGACAAATAATACTGTAAAATAATATTTTCGTGGGGTTAAATTTTCGAGGTTTAAGGAATAACTCTTGGTCCTTGGGATTTTAATTTTAGGATGAAAAATTGTTAAGTAGTTATGTAAGTACATTTTTTTTACATTTCTTATTGGGTGTGAGTTCATTGGTCTCTTTATGCCTTAAAAAACTGCAACGAGCATTAACCCACCCATCCACGTACCCCCAGCCCCCCCCCCCCCAAAATAAATAAATAAATTAATTAATTTCTCAGTAATAAGTTTATTATATAGTCTATTTATATTCCCTATATAATATATACAATCGCAAACACGTCATACACTACATATTCACTGGATTTGTGGCTGTATTCACTGGAGGGTCATTGTGCGTCCAGCTGCATTGTGACGTCATAATCAATACCTTGAATAAACTTGAAACACCTGACAAAATAGCAAATGAATACTTATCAAAAACCGTTCACCATGCAGGAATTAAATTAATAAAATCAAAGGTCATTGAATACTCATATTGCAAACAACATATATAATTCATAGTTTTAAACGCTGATTAAAACGACTATGGAAAAATTAAAGGCCTTGAGGAACACATCATGCAATTATAGAATACGTACTATTTGCGTTCTTTTTATACTTGGCAAGAAATAGGTGCATTCTAAAAATTAAATGGCAGAGTACTAAAGAGAACAACCCTGTATACGTAGGTATCTCCGGGTATTTATTGGGAAAACATTGATGAAAAGAGACAGGTATGTATTGACCAACTTGTCTTGGGTTAAATTATAGATACTTGAGGAGTAAAGAAAGAGGTTTGGTTGAGCATTTACTGGAACCCACAATATACATGTATCTTTGTTTATAAGGATTCTTATAAAGTTTCGGAATCCAATATATGATAGTTCAAATTTATTTTGGTTCTGTGGCATATTAAAAATATTCAAAACTAATATATGATTATGAAGAATTTCTTCTTTAGAAAGGAAAGTATGAGTATAAGTTGGAATACGACTAGTAGAATCAAATCCAAGTTCTTCTAAAATTCATGCAGTTTATATGATGAACCTTTCAAACGAAGACAATGTTATTACCTGTATTGTTGGCAGGGACAACTCATGATTACGTACTGCAGTGCTAATCATGTAATCTATCTCATTCTTTTTTCACTTCTGTATTATTGCATACAGAGTGATAGATGGTTTTCATATTGCCATTTAATGAAATACGCGACTTTAACATGGATCTGATACATTTAATTCATTCTGACAATGTGTTAGTGTCTTCGAATATTTTTTTTTTCATGTCTGGCCTATCGTTTGTCTAATCTTCAACAAAATCTATAATATTTATGAAGTTCAGACGCCGGTTGAAGGATCATAAATGGTCTCATAAAAACTAATTTGTGAGCAGGGTATAAACAAGCACCCTTAGAGATTCAAGAGATGGGATCAGGTGTTTAATGGAGAGGTGGACATCACTGTTGACCGGTTACACAAACCGTAAGCTTTATGTATCGAGAATGATGAATATTTATTAGTCAAATTTTATTTTAAAAAATGAGGGACTCTGGCAACACAGTCGAATTTTTATTTTCAAAGTGCGTCAAATTTGGGACCAAATCAACACACTTTGAAAAAGAATTTATAAATGCGTTAAGAGAATACATCTTCATATTTTACCATGGGGAAATTTAATGCACTTTGAAAAAAAAATGTATAAAACAAAAATTCTAGACTTGATTTAAGTGACTGGGAGAATTTTAAATTGGTTATGCCTTTGCACTAGTTTAATAGATAACCTCAATACCAATACTGCAAGTAAATGTGCTTAAATCACGTGAATGTCGAGTCAAGTTACAAGTTTAAATATAAAATCTAATTGTCGGCAATATGTTATTATTAACCATAATTACAACTATTCAATATTAAAAAATGTACTAAAATATTTGTCATCCCGATTATAAATACCACGGTACATATTTTATCACAAGCAAATTCAAATAATTGTGGTCCTCCGCTTTTGGTGTCTTTGTGTGTGAGATGTCATTTTTATGACACATTGTGTCAAATTATGAAATCCCTATCAAATGTCATTTAGAAAATGTCACGCTACTAGGCATGTTACTCACTGATAAGTTGATGCCACTGGGATATCAACAACCGCGTTTAAACTCAGCATCCATAAATTCAATGGTCTTTAATTGAGAAATAAGCAACGTTATTCAGTGAACATGGCGTTATGAATAGCAATTGCTCTGCTGGCATATTCCATGACGCACGCTAGCGCATATGGAAAATATGCCAGCAGAGCTATTGCTATTCATAATGCCATGTTCACTGAATAATCGTTGTTTATTTTTTATATCTGCATTATTAGTTGTTGTCAAGAATATCAGAGGAAATTGTTTTAGAAATTTTTCATACATAGAGCATGCTCTTGTGTATCAAATCAACTGAGATATATATACTCCGTATGTAGGTGATAAAGGTATTTAGCTGCATAAGAAAGGGAAGTGTTGACTATAGAAAAGTCATAATGTTTATCATATAGCTTCGTTGTTAGATTACCATTAACGTCTTTTTCAAGTAAAATATCCAAGTATGAAACAGATATGTCTGTCTCTGTGGTGTCTTTATCTCAATCTCACCAAGATATATCGTATCTGTAACAATATTAGAGTACGTCAACTGAATATTGCTAAATATAGATCCTATTCATTCTTATGTACATGAGCGGCCTCGGTAAAATTTAATGTATTTCATAGAGCACCTAAGCGGCCCCGTTCTACACTTTGTTGTAAACATGCCATGTGCTTACCTACTTGAATAAACACTATTACACTCCACATAAAGACTTATACGGGTATTGATACATGGTGTCAGAAGTACAGTGAGTACCGAACTTCGTTTTAATTAACGGGATTGTGTGTTAATTCACAGTGAATAATTGTTTCCGGAGTGCAAACGTGATGGGTCGACTTTCCTCGACAAGTATACGTCCATGTCACACGTTAGTGCAAATTATACGAGTTGCAGCGTATGAGTAGTGAACCCAGTGACTTAAGTGAATATATCAGATATCTTTATGGAATGGAGGTTCAAGTAGCAGCACCGGTGTAACGTTGAATTTTGACCCGGGTTGAAAATTGACCCGGGGGTCATTTTTCAACGTTGAATACTGAGACCGAAGGTGTTGAATTTAGACCCCAATCCGTTGAAAACTGAGCCGGGTCGTGGAATTTTGATCATGAAACCGGTTCAAAATTCGACAGCATAAAAACACATATTTATGATTGGGTTTTCACTACTGTGATTGAATTCATAGGTATGAGGCCCCGTTTTGGTATTTACTGCAAAAAGTAGTATCCCCTATTTGAATAAGTGATATCACCTGTTCCAATAGATGATATCACCTATTTGATTTGAATTTGTGATATCACTAATTCGAAAAGGTGATATCACTTATTCGAATTTGTGATATCACTTATTCGATTGGGTGATATGACTGATATCACCTTTTCCCGTCAAACTGCTGAAGTTTTTTCTTTTTTTTTTTTTTTTTTTGCTTACAAATAAATTTATTTCACTTATATATCATGTATACAACAAGAAAATCGTAGAAAATGCATAAAAACTGGGTAGTCTGAATTTTCTTGGTTCCAGTGTAGTATAATATATATTATAGGGAGCATTCATTAATGACTGTTGTAAGAAACTCAAATAGGTAATATCACCTTTTCGAATAAGTGATACCACTTATTCAAATAGGTGATAGCATCTATTTAGCACGAAAAGGTGATATCACCTTTAATTCTAAGCTCTCTGATTGGCTCAAACTTGATCACATGATTAAGTATATAACAGCATAAAGACTTGAGTTACTATTCATAGAATCTGAAATGCATATTGACTTCATGTTTTTTTCTTGTGATCATATAATTTACTATATTGCAGGAGTCCTTTTAGAAAATTTCATTACAGTGAGTGACCCCCCCCCCCCTCCATGCCTGGAGATAATTTTTTTGTAAAACAGAAATAGTATTGATTTCTCAATTAAAGATAATGCAGAGCATGACTTGATGTTTCTGAAAAAAAAATCACTACAACTTGTATTAATATTTTTTAATGTTCCGTAATTGGTGAGACGTATCAATGCCTTTAAGTCTTG